AAGTGTTTAGTAAAATTGCAGTACATTGAATTATTATTAAAATTAAAGTAAAATTGCAGTACATTTGAAATATTATTAAAATTAGTTATAATTTTAGACAAATTTGATTTCCGAAAAACTCTAGACGATTGTTAAAACTTTTTTTAAATATGTATTTTTGCTATAGGTTTAAATCCAACAGAAAGATTTTAATAACATTCCAGAGTTCGTTTTTAGATAATAACTAAAAATATAACAAAAACACAAATAATGAATTAACTGGCATAAAATTGTTTTACAAACCTAAAACCCTAATAAAGGATGGTCTTGAAAAAATTCAAAATTACTGACCTGAAATTGAAAAATGCTGATGCCATCTACAAAGTCGAATAATGTTAGATATCTCTATCATTCAGGCGAAATATATGATGAAAAGTTATTCAGTTTAGATTTTTTTCAGAATTATGCTTTATATTTAAATTATTTAGAAAATTTTATATCTAGGACAAATCGGGAATCAATATAGTAAAGTAATCCTACCTTCTTGTAAATTAAAGGATACAACTAAATTTACTAATATTATATTTCTTTCATTATTAATTAGAGATAATTAACTAAATACCCTGATATTATGAAAAGTGCTTAAATATAAGTTAAAATATTTAAAATAAAATAGTATAAAAGTCTTCAGTAAATGGTTTTCTAATCGTAAGAGACGTCCATTAGTGAATAATTTTTAAGACTTTTTAAAATAATAAATTTATAACAAGATATAAAAATAAATTTTGGTATAAATTTAAAATGTGTTTAAAACTTTTATTACAAAAGTTCAGACATTCAGAAAAAAACGCGAGTTAGTAATTTTAATTTTTACTAATCTATCATCAAATTAAAGCTTTCTTTTAACAGAATATTAATTTTTCTTTATAAATATATACAGCTCAAAAATATTCAAATTCTTGAAAAATTCATCTAATTCACAAAATTATGACAATCAGAATTAAAATTTCGAAATAAAAGTAGATAAATAGTAGTTCAACTAATTTTATCTTATTTGCTATAAATTTTATATATTACTTTTAACGGATATTCAATTTTGACAAAAAAATCAGTTCAAAATGTATGAATTGTGACAAATGTAAATTAAAATTTTGAAATAAAAAAAACATAGTTCAACTTATGTTTTATCTGTTATAAAATTTAAGATTACTTTTATCAACATATTAAAATTCTTCAATATTTTGTATTATTCTCAAAATATTGTATTATTTATATTAATCATGACAATATGGCATAAATTCTTAAGTAAAATCAAATAAAAATTTAACTAAACAAATTAATCTGATTTAAGCTCACTTTTTCTACCAATATCAAGTTCATTAAAAATATATTGAAATTTATTTATTATATTATTCATAATTTTTAAATTAGACAAAAATAAAATGGAACTAATTTTCTGTCATCTATCTAAAAACCAAGGCCTACTTTTTTCAAAATAAAATAAACCAAAACAAATTTCTTTTAAATCTAGTATCCATTTCAATTTTTTCTACTAACAATATCGAATCTGTATTTATGCGGTGCAAACGTTTTGAAAATTATTCTAAAAATATTTCACGATTCGATGTTTTTTAAAAGTTATTCACCAATTTCTTTTATATCGCATAAATAATTAGTGAAGTAAGAAGTTTGAGTAATAGTGAACGATTCAAAATTATAAACAATTAAAAATAATTTTTAAAATAATTGGAAAGAAAAGGCGATGTGGCAGCTTAGAGCTGGGAGGCTCATACAGGGCTTAATAATAGGTAAGATAATATAAATTATTATAATTATATATATATATATATATATATATATATACATATATATATATAATTATAAAGGTCAACCTGTCATCCAAAACTGGATCACAATAATTTTCAAAGAATTTTATCTTATATTGCTATTAGATATTCCTCCATCGACTTTTGTATGAAAGTTATGCCTCAAGTAAAATATTAATATCAATTAAATAAATATGATATATAATTAAATAATTTTTTAAACACGATTTTAATTAACTAATAGAATTATTTAATGGATATTATTACACATTTTTGCAGTCTGTTTTTATATATCATTAGTGAAGTTTTTGTAGTTCATAGTGTCAATAGTTAATAGTGTCAATAGTTGATATAGTTCAATGAAAGTTATACATTTAGATAAATACTTTTAATGATTAAATAACTATAAAGTATAAATAACTAGGTAAAATATAAATTCATAAATAATGATTATTATTATTAATTTTTTTTAATGTTTTCATATACCATTTGTGACAAAAACGATTTTTCTTTTATAATTTGTCTTGGAGAAAAGTAAATTTGTCTAATGAAAGTTATACATTTAGTTTAATATTATTTACGATTAAATAACTATAAAGTATGAATAACTAGGTAAAATATAAATTTGAAAACTATGGTTGTTATTATTAATTTTTTTTAATGTTTTATGTACCATTTGTGACAAAATTGATTTTTCTGTTTGTTTTGGGGAGTAACAATATTTTTTAATATTTTTATTTAATTATAATTAGTAGGATAGTATTTATATTTAGAGCAATAATGGGTAATAAAAATATATTTTTAAAGAAAAGTTATACATTTAGTTAAATATTATTAACGATTAAATATATATAAAGTATAAATGACTAGGTGAAATATAAATTAAAAAATAGTGGTTATTATTATTATTAGTTTGTGTTGTTTTTAAATACTATTAGTGAAAAAATAGAATTTTTTAAAAAGTAAGTTTGTTTGGTAAGAAGTAAATTTCTTCAATAAGCAGTAACAAGGTTTTTGAATTTTTTTTATTAATTTTAATTATTAGGAAAGTATTTTGTTAAGAACATTAATGGGGAATAAAAATATAGTTGAATATTTGATATTCTATTCATTTGCTGAAGATATATTGAATTTTCTTTTAATTGCTGAAGAATGAAAAATCGAATTCAAAGTTGTTTTATTCAAAAAATTTACATCGGACTGTATATAAGTGTTTATAAGAATTGGTAGTAAATTTTATGCAGTTTCTTCAATTCGTGCAGCTTCTATGATTATTATAAAATTACTATATTTTTAAAGCTTGGCAAGAGTCTGAAATAATATCTATTATTATTGATTACGGCTGGTTTATGTATAAATAAAATAAATAAATAAATAAATAAGGTGATGATTGGTTATACATGTTTTGCCCTCCACTTTCAAATATTGTTGTTACAAAATTGCTAAATGAATATTTTCATAGTGCAATTTTTATATTATTAGATATTATTTATTACCAATTATTTTTAATTAAAAGTTTAAGTAAGTAATCTGAATTCCAATGTTGAACGGCGTACCAATTCTGATTAATATTTCTGAATATGACAGGAATATTTTTTGATACATAATTTCTATAAAATTGCAAAGGTTTTGGTGTATCATATACTTCTGATACTTGTGAGCCAAGAAATAATTCTGCGAAAATAATAAATAAAATTATTCGTTAATTTTATTAAGTTAGTTAATTAGTTAATTTAGTTATTATTTAGTATATTAGTTATTAGTTTAGTTAATTAGTTAATTTAATTAATTAATCATAAGCAAGTCGTAGTCAAAAAGAATAAATATTAATTCAGGTGCTGGAATTTCACGCACCATAATTAAAAATTCGTGTAATGAAAATAAACAACAATTGTTTAAAATAATTTCAAATAGATTATCTACATATATATATATATATATATATATATATATATATATATATATAAATAAGTCGGGTTTTCCTTCCTGACGATATAACTCCAGAACGCACAAACCGATTTCGACAATTTTGCATTCGTTGGAAAGGTCGTGCATGGCATCGTGCCTTAATGCAAGCGGCTGTAACTTCACGAACCGTAATTAAAAATTCGAGTAATGACATTAGTGAGAATTATCAGAATTATGCTTGGTTAAGTCAACGAGCAATTCTTGCCGCAAAGAATAATGATGTACACGCACTGAATTTCACCATTCAATCAAAAATTGATGGCGAATTGGTGACATACCAATGATTCCGACTGGTCTTCCGTTTGACTTCAAACGATTGCAATTTCCAGTTTGCCTTGCGTTCGCAATAACAAGTCGCAAGACCAATCGCTTAGTGTTTGCGGGATAAATTTCAAATAGATTATTTAGGAAATCATTGTTTTTCACATGGGCAGTTATACGTTGCCTGTTCACGAGTTGGAAAACCATCCGCTTTGTTTGTGTTAACGTCAGACCAAAAAACAAAAAATGTGGTTTACCAAAGAGCACTTCAATGAAACGGATAATTTGCGGATTCACTTTCATTTACTTAGAGAAGTTCAACTAAAAAACACTTCATTTTTGTAATCAAAATAAATTCATTACTGTTGTGTAATAAAATCAAATTTTTCCTTTTCAAATATAAAACAAACAAAAAATTTCTTCATCTTTCTCACGAAATCATCTGGTGGCGAAACGGAGTTCGTCGCGTTTGCTAGTATATATATATATATATATATATATATATATATATATATATATATATAATTTTGATTCCATGATGAATAGATATTATAGAACAGCCCACATAGATTTAAGTAGAGGTTAAGTGTGGTTAATAAATATTCTTATGTATCATAATATTTGAGTTCACGATCAATGGTCACAGATGGCGTACGAATTTACTTAATGACACATGCAGACATATGTTACTAACAAATATATGAAACTTTTAATTATTGTGCGCTCTATCTATATGTTTATATAAAAAGCTAACACTATTAGAGAATCATTTTTAACAATTTGGAACCATTTGAGACCTTGGGAGCAAGGAAATTAAAAAAATGTCCATATTAAGGACCACCCTAATATATATATATATATATATATATATATATATATATATTTTTCCTTTCAGCCCTGTTTGTCCTCCCATCTCCCAACCTCGGCCAACGTCTCAACGACGGCGCCGGCGCCCAACTGCCAACCATGTACGCCCGGGCCAGGACCCCGATGATCACGACGACCTCATCCTCAACAACGACTCTAGAAACCATAACCGATAGCAACCCTACACCAACCTCTTCGGCCACTTCGACCTTTCTCGCTCCTGCATCTGCTTCTACGCCCCCTAAAAGTGAGACGACTCCCACTGGAGGAACTGGGGAAACGTCTTCTGCTGCGGGACAATTGATGTCGGCGGAGAACCGCACGCCGCCACTGGTGGTTGCGGCTGTAGAGGACAAGGATGAGGATGAGAATTCTGACATTGTTGAGGTAGGGGGTGAAAGACTTTTTTAAAGTGTTTGCTGGATAGTAGAAGATTCAGCAAGGTGCAAAAATTGACAGTAATTTTATTAACTTGCCGTAGAGTAAGTTATGGTAATCGCAAAAAAAAAACTACTAGAATATGGCATCGTGCCTTAAGGCAACTTGCTGGAATTTCCCGTACCAAAAACATTTTTTTGTAAAAGATTAACATTTTTGATAAAATTTTACTTTGAAAATATGAGATTTTTGAGAAACTATAAATTTTTAACAAAAATTCACTTTTTTGGAAATAAAAGACTTATTGAAAAAAATGTTTCCTTTTTTTGATACGGATCCCATAGGAAAATTTATACTTCTTGTTAAAATCTCTATAAAATATCTGATTATTTGATGTGCATATGTCCAATGATCATTTTTGACCACTAAATGGTATTATGTTTACTTTTTACATTAGATCTCCGAAACCGCTAAACCTACCTTCATGAAAATTTGAAAAATTCTTCATGATGCCAATCATTAAAATCGGACGCTCCGTTTTCTTAAAAACTGAGTTACTGTTATTGGCACTTTTTGCCCCGTAAAACTATTCAGAACGTTTCCTTATCAATAGCAATCGAATGTTTCTTGAATAATTGTAATCGGTGAAACCGTGTTCCCGAAATCGTCGACGAAATTTTATATCTGTACACGCACACACACACGAACACATACACATACATACATACATCCATTATTTCTAAGGTATACCAAAATGTTCAAAAATTTTTGAAACGTAAAGATATATGAAAATTTTTATTTTCGATTTTTTTGCGATTACTAAAACTTACCCTATGGAAAGTTAACAAAAAAAAATCAGTAAAATTCTAAGTATAAAATAATTTTCAAAATATAAAAAAAATCTAATTTTTCAATAAAGTCAATTTCTTCAAAAAATTCAGAATTTCAAAAATGTAATTTTGTAGTTTTTAAAGTAATATAAAGGTTTCTTAAAATTTTTAATTTTTGTTTGGAGAAGTTCCAGCAATTTGCCTTAAGGCACGATGTCATGCACCACTACTCAAATTGGATATCCGAAATTTCATAAAACACCTTTTACAAGAGTTGTCGGATAATCATATTTCATTCGATTTATACGATGAATGCTATAGCATCCACGTCAAATATTACGCTTATATTTTTCGCAAGGTGCTTTCCAATTTCCAATAAGGTCATTTTTCTCCAAAAAATTCTAAATTCTCAAAAATGTCATTTTTTCGACGTTTTTTGAAACTTTTAATTTTTGGTTCGAGAAGTTCCAGCAATTTGCCTTAAGACACGATGCCATGCACCACTCCTTAAATTGGATATCCAAAATTTCATTAGACATATTTTATATGATCAGATCAGTCAGACTATCATACTTTAGTCGATATATACGATGAATGCTATAGCATTTACGTCAAGTATTGCGCTTCTATTTTCCGCAAAGTGCTTGGAAGCTACGGAGTTAATAACTACAGGAAAATTCAAAGTATATAAAAAATTTCGAAATATAAATTTTCCAGTAAGGTCAATTTTTTCCAAAAATTTCAAAAATGTCAAAAATGCCTTTTTTTTCAAAGATTTTAATGTAATAAAAAGTTTTTTAAAATTTATAATTCTTGGTTCCGAAACTTCCAGCAATTTGCCTTAAGGCGCGATGCCATGCACCACTACTTAAATTGTTTACAATATCCAAAATTTCAGTAAACAACATTTATAAAGGCAGTCAAATTATTATATTTTAACCGTTATTTTCCATGGATGCTATAGCATCCACGTCAAGTATTGCCATGTATTTTTCGCAAGATGCTTGCTTAAACTACAGAAAAAGATACCTAAAGAATCAGTTAGTCATTATTTCAACAAATATAATAATTACAAAAATGTGTGGTTATATAAAATTACATTCAAAATAATTGACTTAAAATTTTGGATGCTCTAGCATCCACGTCAAATATTACGCAAGTATTTTCCGCAAAGTGCAAAAAAAAAATTAAATAATACGAAAATACCCGAAGAATGAGAGTCATACCTTGACTGGTTTAATAATTACAAAAAACGTAAGGATATATAAAATTATATTCAAAATAATTGACTTAAAAATTTAGATGCTATAGCATCCACGTCATTCTGCATCACGATAAAAATCAATGCTAAGGCACTCACATTTGTAAACATGCATGTGTATTTAAATATAATGTAGGGTTTCTTCGTGATTTTGTTGTGAGTGCTTTAGTCTTGCAATTTTTTTAAAAACAAATTGATGATTCGTTAGAATAAATTATGGCAGTGCCTTAGTTTTGTTATAGAATGCCATACTTTTTATTTTACACTTCAAACAATTTGCTGTAAAGATCTTGTAGATTATTAATAAATATATTATAAAATCCACTTAAGAGTTCAGGAATTGTCTAAATTTTTTGAATGATTTTGATTTTATTTAATCTGTGTTTTTTTTTTAAATTTAGACGGCTTCAGAGGAAGACACTTCACCTTTGCAGAGTGAAACATCTTCCACCGCAAAGGGTATTGGAAACGAAGTTGCACCTCAAGATAATAAGGTAAATATTTATATGTTAAAATTTTAATTAAAATAATTCAAATCCTACATTATATAATAACAGTAATAAATAAAAACTTGATGATATTGACCTATTTGTATAAATATTTACTTTACCAAAGTTTCTAATCGCCTGTTCATAGAATTTGATTGTTTAAAAGCAATTTTTGTGAGCCAATGGAATAAATAACCGATGTGCCTAAAATAATCGGTAAATATATAGTAGATAAATTATTTTTCTCTATTTAGAATGCAAAAACCACACTGACCGCCCAGCCTGACCCAGAAAAAGCCAAGGAAACAAATGTCGTACAAAAAAGTCCTGATGACACCTCAAGCGATAAACCGAAACGTACAAGCACAGTGTGAGTAATTTGAAACATTTTAATATTTAAAATACTTGAAAAACTTATCTTTACCACATGAATTGTAAAAGACTTATCAGAGTTATAAATATTTAGCATTATGATGAAAATTGATGTACTATAATAACTCTTACCACATGGCGCTTAGTGGTAAGATGGTGAGAAATATGCAAAAACCTTTACGGGGATGTACCTAACAGTTTCCCAAATTTTCAGGAGCTTTATGAATACATAAGTTAACTTAGTAATAATATTACGTTAATAAATCTAGATTTTATTTATTTATTACCTCGTTTGTTTCAGTAGGCACCATAGAAAGCACCACAAGCACCATCACAGAAGAACCCAAGGAAAACGTGAAAGGCGAAACAAAACTCTGATGCCAGGTGAAAATCCGGCCCTGTCTAATAAGAGAAATTTGATGCCTGGTGAAAATCCAACTGTGCCTGATAAGAGCACCCTTAATACACCTGCCCCGGTAAAAAACCAATTAAAAAAAATAAATCAATAAGAAACATATATGCTATATCTGAATGTTATGGAACACTTCTTGCTCTTAAGGGAGACATAGTATAAACGTGGCATATTATTTGCATGAGTATACATTATTTATCATGTTTTATTGTAATTATTTATAAATATAATTTTGTAATTTAATTGCATAATAATTTCCCCCTAATAATTGAATTTATTCCAACAGTTCATTTTATTGATTTCCCAAACCCTGTTTCCAATCTTGTGGTGAATTTCATTATTCATTCACTATTTATTATTGTCTATTTATTTATTGATGTTTATATTTATGCAGTTATTATTTTTCTACAGATTATCCGCGAAAAAAGATTGGAGACAATGCCCATTGCAGAGCCTAAAGCCCAAACACTTTCTTCTCCATCAGACTTAGACCCTGTACACAGAGCCCTCTATCTAAGAAATAAAATTTTGTCTCAAATGAAACACATGATACAAATGGTAAATAAATTTATAAACTTCAGAGCAACTGTAAAAATTATCCTTTATCAAGACAAAAAAAAACAACACTATGTAACACTAACTAAAAAATCTCTGTATCATTTTTCAGGAAGAAAAACGTAATGCAATTGAAAAACACAGTGAAGAACCTCCATCAACCCCTAAATCTGACCCGACCACCACGCAACCACCAGTTTTCTCCGAAGCCAATTTTCAGACAACCCAGGCCCAATATTTGGCTGCCAACAAGAAAAGGGACGCAGAGGCTGATGGCCAAATGGGTAAGAACCAAAACCAGGAGCAACCCCGAGAAGAAAAAACTGTAAAAAGGGATGCACAGGATGCACATGGTGAAAAACTCCAGAAAGAAACAAGAAAGGCAGAGACTAGTGGTCAAATGAACAATAACCAGGAGCAACCTCAGGAAGAAACAAAGAAGGCACAGGCTGGTGGTCAACTAAATAACAATCAGGAGCAACCTCAGGCAGAAACAAAAAAGGCACAGGCTAGTGGTCAAATTAACAACCAGGAGCAACCCCAGAAAGAAAGAAGACAGACGCAAGCTGGTGGTCAAATAAACAATAACCAGGAGCAACCCCAGAAAGAAAGAAGACAGGCGCAGGCTGGTGGTCAAAACAACGGTAACCAAGAGCAACTACAGAAAGAAAAACGAAAGGCAGAAGCTGGTGATCGAATGAGAAACAACCATGAGCAACTTCAGGAAGAAACAAAAAGGGCACAGACTGATGGTCAAATTAGCAACGGTAACCAAGAGAAACTTCAGGAAGAAACAAAAAAGGCAGAGGCTGGTAGTCAAAACAAGGGTAATCAAGAGCAAGTTCGGGAAGAAACAAGAAAGGGACAGACTGATGGTCAAATGAACAACAACCAGGAGCGACTTCAGGAACAAGGAGAAAAGAGAGAGGTTGGTGGTCAAATAAACAACCAGGAGCAACCCCGAGATCAAAGAAGTACAAAAAAGGATACACAGCCTAAGGGTCAAATAAAAAACAACAACCAGGAGCAACCCCAGGAAGAGAAAGAAGAGGCAAAGACTGGGGGTGAAATGAACAATAACCAGGATCAACTTCAGGAACAAGGAGGAAAGGCACAGACTGGTGAACACATAAACAACAACCAGGAGCAACTCCAGGAAGAAAAACAGAAGGCAGAGGCTGGTGGCCAAATGAGCAACAATAACCAGGAGCAATTTCAGGAACAAGGAGGAAAGGCACAGGCTGATGAACAAATTAACAAGAACGGCAACCAAGAGCAGTTACAAGAAGAAAAAATCAGTAAAAGGGATGCACAGGCTGTTGGTCAAATAAACAACGCTAACCAGGAACAGCAACCCCAAGAGGAAATGAGCAGAAAAAGGGATACACAGGCCGATAGTCAAATGAACATCAATGGTAACCAAGAGCAACTCCAAGAAGACAAAATCAGTAAAAGGGATGTAAAGGTTGATAGTCAAATGAACAACAATGGTAACCAAGAGCAACCCCGAGAAGATAGAATCAGTAAAAGAAATGTACAGGCTGATGGTCAAATAAACACTAATGGCAACCAAGAACACCTCGAAGGAGAAAGAAATGTAAAGAGGGACGTACAGATTAATGATCAAATAAATAACAACCAGAAGCAACTTCAGAAAGAAAGAAAAGAGGCAGAGGCTATTGGTCAAATGAGCAACAATAACCAGGAGCAACTCCAAGAAGAAAAAAGAAAAGCAGAGACAGCTGGTCAAATTACCAACAACCAGGAGCAACTCCAGGCTGGTGGCCAAGTGAACAACGTTGGCAACCAGGAGCAACAACTCCAAGAAGAAATGATCAGAAAAAGGGACGCACAGGCTGATGGTCAAATGAACAACAATGATAACCAAGAGCAACTCCAAGATGAAATGATCAGAAAAAGGGACGCACAGGCTGTTAGTCAAATCAACAATAATGGTAACCAGGAGCAACCCCGAGAAGATAGAATCAAGAAAAGAGACGTACAGGCTGATGGTCAAATAAACAATAATGGTAACCAGGAGCAACCCCGAGAAGATAGAATCAAGAAAAGGGACGTACAAGCTGATGGTCAAATAAACAACAATTGTAACCACGAGCCACTTCAAGATGAAATGATCAGAAAAAGGGACGCACAGGCCGATGGTCAAATCAACAACAATGGTAACCAGGAGCAACCCCGAGAAGAAAAAGGAAGCGATATGCCAGCATTTTGTTTGGGAAGTGAAGGCGAAAACAATGGACAAACAGATGAATCAAACCCTCAGGTATGAAAAATAAATAATTGAAAGGGTTGGTGGTGCTTTTTATCCCATCCACATGAAAACTATTTTAGAAGCTATATAAAAAAACTTTTGGATTCAACGTAAAAATAACACTACACCTAATAAAACAATTAAATTACGTATACGTAGAAAATTATATCCAGGTATTGTCAACTAAACAACAGTGCTCAAAACCAAAAAACAGCAACAAAAAAAATGTATTATAGCATTGCCAACTGTCAACCAACAAGTTGTCTACTGATCCAATAATGATAGAACTTTTTTTTTTTTAATTTTAATAATTATTACAACTGCTAAATTATTAACATCCAAAAATAAACATCAATGAGAAAAAATACTTTTGTTGCAGTTGACAACTTTATGACGTCTATTTTTCTAATAATGATAAAATTGGAAGGTACATAGGATTTGTTTTTTTTATGAGTTTTAATTTTATTTTCAGAATATTCCCTTCGCAGTTATGGAGAAGATGAGATTTATGGAAAGGATGAGGGACGATTTAAGGAAACAAAATCTTATACCGGAAGACCACACCTATGATCAACCTTTGATGCCTGATGATGAAAATATGGAATACGGTAATAATTCTTCAGAAAATTTTATCAAATTTTTTCAGACAGGGTAGAACTGGGCATAAAGATCAAATTAGTGCTCACGATCAAATCTAAAATACTTTTGGTATGAATTTTTAGGGATTGCCGTTTATCTCTCGACCTAAGAATCAAGGAGATGGCTGGACCCTCTACTTTCAAATATTGTTGGTACCAAAATCTTAACTTTTCTTGTTTTTGAGATATCGGTGGTGGACCTTCAAACCCACCTCAAACCTATCAAAAATTTTATTAACTTACCGTAGGGTAGTTATAGTACTGGGCCGAAAATCGAAAATGAAGTTTTTTGCATTTCTCGACGTTTTGAAGGTTTCTGAACATTTTGGCTTACCTCAGAAAAAATGGATGTGTGTGTATGTGTGTGTGTTTTGTATGTCCGCATTTTTTCGTCCACGGTTCCGGACGCACGGATCAACCGATTTAAATGGTTAAAAAAACATTCGATCCCTATTGATAGAGAGATGTGCTGATTAGTTTTTGGCAGAGGCAGGTCCAGCCGTTAGGGAGATACGAAGCAAAAAGTGCAGAAAATACAAAACGAGTTTTTGGGAGAACGGAGTATCGGATTTGAATGATCTAAAAAACATCTGTAATGATTGGAAGAAGAGGTGATTAGTTTTTGGCAAAGACAAGTCCCGCCATTTCGAAGATACAGAGCTAAATGTGCAAAAAATGGCAGTTTTTGAGTGAATCAAGCGTCCAATTTGAATGATCTAAAAAACTTTCTGCTTGTATTGGCAAAACAATTGCTTTTGAGGATAAAAAAATATTACATCTTTTTTATTCTCTATAAAATATTTTTGTAATTTTGAATTAAAAATTCAAAAAATTACTAAGGCTAAGCACAGTCTAAGCGCCACTCTGGTACAAATGCTTACCACTGGAGCACTTATCCCTTTTTGTGAAAACTATTGAAAAATGTGAAAATGCCGCCAAGCTAGGCACAGTATAAGTGAAAACGTCGCACAGAATCATTTGCAAGTGCGTTTAGACTGTGACTATACGGGTGCACTTTTTCAATTTTGTGCAAATTTTAGCAACTATTTTTTTTTTGAAATTGGATTCGAAATGAAATGACAATTGTTAATGTTCTGGAGATAAATTGATTTATGATTTACATTTGATTTGCTCAGATAGCAATGATAATGAAAGTTACAGTATTTGACGATACTGTATTTGACGATAATAAGATAGCAAAAATAATGAAAGTTACAGTATTTGTAATAATATATTCGAAAACGTTTAAAGTTTCTCGAATATTACATTACGGTACGGGAAGTTCGAGTAATTTGCATTAAGGCACGATGCCATACACCACTAGTTTTTTTTGCGATAACTATAACATTCTCTACAAAAAATTTCCAGGTGGCCGAGAAACCCGAATGGTCCCCCGAAGAAAACACTTTTGGCCGAGTCCCCAACAAAGAATGATTCGCAGACGAAACACCAGGCCGCCCTTAGTGGTTGTAGACAATGTAAGGCCCAGGGAAAGGGAAATGGCCGTCGTTCTACCAACAGGTAAAAAACTTAAATATTCTTCAAATAGACCTTTAGAACCTGGACAATTTTTAATATTTAATCGAATCTTGTTGTTAGCTTCATTCGATATTGTACGAGAAGTCCCTTCGAATTTACCAGAAGTAACCGTCAACAAACTAACTGCCCCGAACAACGACCAAGGTAAAATATTCATTAACAGTGATAATGGATTTATAATAATAATGATATTACATTGTTAATAATTATATGATAAAAAAAGGCTAAAACGAAAAATTCCCAATGATCTCATAAATAGCCATTTGTGAACGCTAACATTAATATTATTATTATCTTATTTCTAATATTGTTATTTTGTTATATTTTGTTTTTCAAGTATTATTTCATTATTTATAAATTTTATTTATTTTATTTATTAATTTTATTTTTATTTTTATTTGCTTAAATCATCATACTACGCATATCATTTTATTGTAAATTTTATCCTTTGCGCTCTTATTTATTTAAATTTATGTTATTATTGTTATCATTATTGCTAGATGTTATATTATTTAACAGTTGTAATAAATATTGTAATCAAATATATATATATATATATATATATATATATATATAATAATTTTGCAAATAATTTGCTATTATTTTTAGCTACATTTGAAATTGCACAAGAAGTTCCCTCAAATTTACAAGAAATGGCTGTCAACAAGTTAACTGCTCCAAGCAACAATCAAGGTAAAACAATTATTTATTGTATTTTTTTTATTTAGTTACTAGCTGACCCGGCAAACGTTGTTTTGCTAAGTAAGGTATATTCTAAACAATTTCTAGAGAATCAAACAAATTAATATTTTTAGTGTATAAGGATGTGTTGTTTGAATGCTCAAGTCTTTTTTGTTCTTTCGACTTATTGATTACGTTTCAAGTTTTTCAGATTCTTTTCGGATTATGGATTTTGTGTATAATTGTAAATAATACCACTGAGCTTATACAAAATTTTCAAATGTAAAGCAGGGCGAGGCACAAAGGTCCAATTTGACTTTGAGCAAATATTAATTATATTATAAAAATCAAACCAATTATATCACAACAAATAACACATTTCAAACGAACAATTATCTGACTACGTTCAGTAAAACTGTCAGCTACTTCATCATTGTAGAAATGAACTTTTTTAATGTCTTTCAAAAATAATTTAGACTTTTTTAGCTTATAGGCGGAGTAACTTGGACGGCCAGGTGGCAAACAGGTTAAACGTCTTATTTTAATTTTAAAGGTATTTTACAAAATAATTACATTTTTAACTAATGCGAAAAAAAACTACCAACGGAAGAAAATACTTTTATTATGGATTTTCAAAGATTACCGTTTATACCCTCCGGATAGCAGGGTTATGAGAATCAAGGTTGTAGCTGGTTATAAATCCTTTTCCCTCTACTTTCAAATATTGTTGTTAAATATGCTTAACTTCACTTTTTTGTTGACACATCGGTAGATTTTGAAATAATATCTCACCTTTTCGACAACCTACTGATTAGCACGAGTTTTTCAAGACTAAGACTGAGACAAATCGGTTTAGCCGTTTCCGAGTTTTAGCGGATCATTTTATCGAGAGCTCCATTTTTATATATAAGATTAATTTATTGTTGATAATTATTTAAAAGTAATATAATTATTAATTTTGTTTTATTTTAGATGCCGATTCGCAATACAATACACTCGGGTCGATTTTGGAAGCTCAGAAAATAGATGAGCAAGGAATCATTACACCTCTGAAAGTTGTCACTGAAGGTATACAAATTTTATATATATATATATATATATATATATATACCAGCTGGCCCGGCAAACTTTGTTTAGCCATCAGAAATATTTCTAGATAATTTTTAGCATAAATGTAGAATGTAGAAGTGTGTGTTATATGAATGAAAGGGACAGCTAACACAAATTATACGGTTGGTTTACCCACTGCAAAGCATGCCACATATAAATGTTCATGAGGCACAGCCTAATCTGAAACTGATTTCATTTAAATTAAATTGGCACATTTGGAGATTGAAGGTTCTGATATATTACTACCGCGCTTTTAAATATTTATTATTTATTGAATTTCAACAAATTTTCAACCTGTAACAAAGAAAGATCTAAAAGAAAAATTTAACACTCTTGTTTATTCGAACTTTTGAAATTAGGCTTTTTGCCCCAAATTTTCACTTCCATCTTTTAAAAAAATAAAGGACGGTACTGCTCTAGCAAAGAAAATGTGAAGGAATTTCCCATTGCCATTTCACACGTGATGCCCAAAAATTGACTTATTTTTAATTGGAAAAATATTTTTGATCTATATTTTCGAATGACAATTGACATCTCTGCTGCACAATATAAGGCTGTCATTTAGCCAGTCAATCATGAAACCCTTTGACCTTATAAATTAAATTTTAATTTTATAAATTCACTTGGTGATTCAAATATTAATACCAATAAGTCGAAGGATAGATATTAATTTGTTGTATTAATTTTTTATCTTTCAATAACGATTTTTGTGAGTACGTGAGTCGTCTATATCCCGCATAATTCGATTTCTCGCATAAGACGAGTTTTAGGTCCAGTCCAGAAAAATAATCATTTTATAAACGTTTGTAATATTACTAATTATTTTTCAGCCCCTGTGCAACCTGGATCACCCGAAGAATTTGCTTTCAAGATGGACATTAATCAATTCTACAAAAGATTCATGAAGAAAAGTGAGGTAAAGTGATACAGAGATCAAAGTTATGGCAAGACCATGTTAACATACATTATGCTACTGAATCATACTTAATACTGTCAAAATGTCATGTAATTGCTGTGCATTCAGGCAGTATTACACGCAAACTGAAACGTTACTCGTATGTTATGGAGCTGGGTCAGAAAAATCCTGTTACCTAAATGGTTAAAAAAAATATCCTTCTATAATTCTTTAAATAAATTTTGTTCGAATTGTAGTACAAACGGTTTAGAAAAGTCTATATTGTGTGTTAAAGTATTAATATGGTCCGCAAGCATAGTTTTAAATTGTCTGCGATTTTTTGAATTGTTTTTATATAGTTGTGAGCGTTTAATGAAGTTCTGGTTTGTTTCTCTTATGTAAATTAAATTACAATCAACCATATGGCTTTTGTCAATATTTAGTATAGAAAGTTCTTCATAACATAGCCTTGCCATAACATTTTTCTGTTATGCGGCAGAATCGGTCCCACAGTTTTGATACTTACTTAAAATTTCATAAACAGTTGAACATTTACCTAAATATCTGTATCTTACAACTAGTTATTATTATTTTCAGAATGCAGAGACTGATCAGCCCACCACAGAGTATTCAGGATCAGAAGGTGAAAAACCAAAAGATGTAGGTCAAGTCATTTTAGATGGATATGCACAAATTCAGGAGAAACCCGAAACTAAACGAGAAGCTAGGGAAGGAGTTCAAAGATTCATCAGAGCATTGTAAGTTTTTGAACCAATAAAATAAGTAGTAAAAATGAGAAACTTTATTATGGAAACCGAACAAACAACTATCTCATCTGACTATGCTCAGTAAAACTAACACCTGAGTCATCATTCTAGAAATGTGTTCCTCTTGCTGTTTTTTTTAACTTCCCGAAGAAGAAGTTTGTGTTCATAAAAAAAATCCGAATTGCTAATTTTATGTTTTCTCGATGTTTCAAGCCATTCTGAATCGAATCAGACCAAATTTGGAAAAAGTATGTGTGTGTGTGCATGTGTGTGTGTGAACCGATTTTTTGCCGTAAATCGACGTTTTCTCAAAAACGGCTGGACCGATTTCAGATATGTAAAAGCCATTCGATGTACCTCGACAAGGGCTATTGTTTCCCAGTTTTGTGCGACGATCGGCCGAGCCGTTTCTTTGTAAATTGCAGAAAAATGAAAAAAAAATTGTCTACGTTTTAGCCCGCAATTCTGAATCGATTTTGAAAATTCAAAAACCGTTCGATAGATAATGGTTGGCTGATTAGTTTTTGGTAATGATCGGCCGGGCCGGTTTCTTGTAATAAAGTGTTGAAATTTTTTTTTTCGACAATTTGTATAATTTTTTTCTGACGGTAGATACCATAGTCTTATAGATCATACTAAAATATTACAGCCCTACGACGACTCGTTTAGCTTTAAAAATTCATCAAAATTTACATAAATTAGTGTCGTTCTTTTGGCATTTGTCAAAATTAGACCTTTCATCGACGTTTGCTCAGAAACGCCTGAACCGATTTCAGAAATTTAAAAGCCATTTGATGTATCTCAATGAGGACTCTCGTTTGTCATTTATGTGAGACGATCTGCCAAACCGTTTCTTTGTAATTTGAAAAAAAAGTGTTGAACTCTTCGTCCACAATTAAGCTCAAACTACCGAATCGATTTTGAAAAATCAAAAACTGTTTGAAAGATATTAGTTGGGAATGATACTGATTAGTTTTAGGTGAAAATCTACCGAGCCGTTTTCTTGTAATTAACTGTTGAAAAAAAAAATTAAGCCGATTTTTATGGAACTTTTTTGGCGATATATATTATGGTCTTATGGAACTTATTGAAATATTACGTCCTTACGACAAGTAGTTTAATTTTAAAAATTTATCAAAGTTTGAAAAATGAGTAGTTTTTTTCACGTTTGTTAAAATTAAAATTAGACGATTTACTTGGTATAACAATAGAGTACTTGGTCTTGATGAACATACTAAATCAAGTCCTACGGAAACTGGTTCAATTATAAATATTGTTGATTTTTGAAAATTTGCTTTTAGAAAATTCACCGAGTTAAACGTGTTCGTTTGTTTTCAAATGTGTGTAATAAATCCACAGGGAATACTTTTAATCACTCATAAATTAATTTGTTTTTTATTGATTAAGTCGATTATTTACACATTTCGGGATGTTCATGTAACTTGCCTCAAGGCAAAATACCAATACCAACTAGTTAGTTTTTCTATAGATTTCCGACGTTATTATGAAAAAATGTAATTACACAATTGAGAATGGGTGTCATCCACCCGTGGAGTCCAAATTGTTTTCACTTTTGAACTTGAGGTTAAGATGAACCTAATTCCAAAACTTCATGCAATTCGGAGCACAGTAAAAAAATTCAGACTCAAAACGCTCCGTTTACATCTAATTCAACATCTTATGAATGTGTTCTTCTTGCTGTTTTTTTAAGAGGGTTGTTCTTCTTTGTTACAAAAAATGCAAGGTATTTGTTTTTGTTTTGGCGTTTTTGGGACCAGAAGCTTCGCAAAATTTTTTTGCGTTTTGTTATGAAGTTTTTTGAGGCAGGGGGACTAGATATTGCCGTGGTGAACAAATTTAAAAAAAAATGCAAGTCGATCGACTTGTAGTTTTTTTTTAATTTGTGGCAGCGCATTGAAAAAAGTCAATTTGAGAAAAACGTATTTAAAGTTTTTAATATAATATACTGAATACACCATTTAATTTAATGTACTAATACAGCATGGTGTTCAAAGATGCTGACACATTAAAAAGGTCATGTGCATGAGGTATTATAATGAAAAAGAGGCAGCTGGCATACAATAGCTCGCGGAGCGATAAAAAAACGCTTTCAGAGGATCATACGTATAGAGATATATATATCTATAACTTCGTCAAAAAAATAGATATTGAGATGATTTTTTTTGAAATTATTCTAAGGTTTTTAGCTTTCATAATATCAAAAAATCTCAAAACCGAAACAACAAAAAAATAAAAAACGAACAACCCCCTTGAATGTCATCTGGTCCATTTGATTACAGTGAGTTTATCTATTTTTTCTATCTATTAAGGGTTAGGAGATGCACATACCACGGCGACCAGTGCTTCGACAACCAGTGTCCAGGCAGACTTACATCAATGCTTGTTGCTGCAGCAAAACTCAACGAGGAAAAAATGCGACAGGATGCAGAAAATGAAGATATGACCACTTCTGCAACCACGGTTGCAACAGTTCTGGCTCAGGCTGTCCACGAAGCCGACAAGGAACACGGTGGCCAGGCTGATGACAAGAGGTAAAAATAAAAAAAGAGTGCGCGTAAAGATCACACACGATTGAAGTAAAACTTATTTGCTACTGAACAAAATAGCAAATTTAAGTTAAGTAAAGATAAATACATCACATAACAATTTTGAATAATGTTTATTTGTAATATGGTAACACTCGTGACGCACACATTTATTAGTGTCAACCATTATACATATTTATATAATGATAAATTATAAATTATATATTTATAATAGCCTTAAAAATGTGTATAATATTTAAAAAGAATAATGTAATCAAAGTCATACTTCAAATATGACATGATCGGTTTGTCATTGTAATTTGCATTTAGAAAAGAACCTTCATTAGAGAAATGAAGTAGCTGCTGATTAATAAATTCTATAATATTCGTTTACATAGTGAATTATGTTAAACAACGCCTAAACAAATATGGTTTTCACAATTTTGCTCATCATGTAATAATTGAGTTTAATGAACTTTCTGTAATTAAAATTAACATACATTCATTGACTGATGGTATTTTTTAACTTCCCGAAGGAGAAGATTGTTTTCATAAAAAAATCCGATTCGCTAATTTTATGTTTTCTCGACGTTTTAAGCCATTCTGAATCGAATGAAACTAAGTTTGGAAAAAGTATGTGTGTGTGTGCGTGTGCACCAACAGATTTTTTGCCGTAAATCGCCGTTTTCTCAAAAACGGCTGAATCGATTTTAAAAATTTAAAAGCCATTCGATGTATCTCGACGAGGACTATCGTTTTTCAGTTTTGTGTGACAATCGGCCGAGACGTTTCTTTATAAATAGCAGGAAAGTAAAAAATTTTTCGTCTACATATTAGCCCGCAATTCTGAATCGATTATGAAAAATTCAAAAGCCGTTCGAAAGATATTGGTCGGGAATCGTGCTGATTAGTTTTTGGTAAAAATCAGCCAGGCCGTTTTCTTGTAATAAAGTGTTAAAAAAAATTTTTTCGGTGATTTTTATTAATATTTTTTTAACGGTAGATACCATATCTTCTAGAACCTATCGTGTATAATATAATATATAATAATATATCATGTTCTGGTTGTAACTCTTTTACTTTGTCGCGAATTCGTTTGTAAGTCTACATTTTCCCTGTTAAACTAGGACAACCATCCGTAGTGACGCTTACTATATTATTTCAAGTTAAACTTACTTCAACTAAACACTCTTCAACAGCGAGAAAGAAGTTTTTACCAGTAGTTGTGCCTTTCATTGGATGCACACTAAACAGTTCCTCGCTAATTTCACATTTCTTGTTAATGCCGCGTATAAACAATAGGTAAAAACAGCAATTTTTGTTCTTAGCTGCACCATGGTCAAGTAAGTTTCCTAAAATATTTTCAATCCGTCGTACTATTGTTCTTCTCGAAAGGCTTACATTTTCAAAAATATGTTTCTTTCCAGGACAACAGATCTCCGACACTTGTACCATGCATTGTTCAATAACCCTATTTTAGAAAATTCTGTTTTACAGAACTTAGCAATTTTATGTGCGACAACATAACTTGCTTCTGTGATAGATTTCTCTATATTACTTTGGTAAAAATCAACATACCGCCCATTTTAGTACGCCTATTATATATACAGTACGCACACTAATAATGTTGATGTCATTAAAATCTTATAAGAGTTTAAAAAAAATAGCGTGCGGAATTTTTCAACGGGCCGGATAAAATAAGGAAAAGGGCCGGATCCGGCACGCGGGCCGGCTTTTGCCCACCTCTGTTCTAGATCATACTAAAATATTACGGCCCTACGACAATTGGTTTAACTTTAAAAATTCGTCAAAGTTTGCAAAAATTGGTATCGCTTTTTTGGGATTTGTCAAAATTAGACCTTCCATCGACGTTTTCTCAGAAACGCATGAACCAATTTCAGAAAATTAAAAGCCATTTGATGTATCTCGATGAGGACTATCGTTTGTCAGTTTTGTGCGACGATCTGCCAAGACGTTTCTTTGTAATTTGGAAAAAAGTGGTAAACTTTTCGTCCACATTTAAACTCATACTACCGAATCAATTTTAAAAAATCAAAAACTGTTCGAAAGACATTAGTTGGGAATGATACAGATTAGTTTTAGGTGAAAATCTACCGAGCCGTTTTTTTGTAATTAACTGTTGAAAAAAAAAATTAAACCGATTTTTATGGAACTTTTTATGGCGATATACACTATGGTCTTATAAAACTTACTGAATTATTACGGCCTTACAACAAATAGTTTAATTTTAAAAAATCAAAGTTTGAGAAAAGAGAAGTTTTTTTGACGTTTGTTAAAAATAAAATTAGACGGTACCTGGTCTAATTAAACATACCAAATCATTAAAGTCCTACGGATACTGGTTTAATTATAAAAATTGTTGATTTTTGAAAATTTGCTTTAAAAAAATACTCCGAGTTAACGTGTTCGTTCGTTTTCAATTATGTGTAATAAATCTAACCAATGCCAACTATATTACTTTTTCGCTGGCGATACAGTCTCATTCTTTGAACAGCTGTAATATCTGTCTTGCCTATAAAATTGAAGCCATACTTTTATATTTGTTTTATTTATCAAGCCCTGCACATAGCTTGATCTAAGAATCATTTTCTTTTTTATGTGAACGTTAATGCAGTGATCATCATCAATATAATGAGGTAATAAATTAACCATATTATTAACGTCAACAGGCACATTTATAATTTGGCCAAATATTCCAAATTGTCCATTTGCATGTCGCAATCGTCTAATTTGCATGAAACACAACCTAGGTGAAATTAACCTTTCAGATACAGTATCTAGTTTAAGTAGATAATTTGGTATAGGTGAAAATACAAACCCGTTAAATTTACACAAAGTGGGATTTTTACCCGAATTTAATGCCTTTCGACAAGTTTGACATCCAACCTGATCATATGAATCAATATTCAGAAAACCATTATTAAGAACTTGTGTTTGAGCTTTATTTAATATTTTTAAGTCACTTTGAAACCAAAGTCGATCACACACAAAATATACATAGCCAAAGCTATCATTTGCAAATTGTTTTTCAAATAATTTTCGTGCATTACTAAACAAATTGAAGTCTTTATATAAAAGTTCAAATACTTCATTTGGCTCTTGCAAAAGATCAATTTCTGTCACATTATTAGTCACATTATATGCAGAACCATTAATTTGCAATTGACGTGATGTATTTGGTGTAACAGAAAAAGTTACAGCAGTACTTTCATCTAAGAAAAACAACAAAATAATATTTTACATAGCATAGCAAAACAAGATTCTTACTTATGTCAATGGTGTTGACATTAACATCTAAATTGATACCTGGCTCAAGATTTTCTAGTAAATTGGAAGTAACCGATTATTTTTTTGCAGTTGTTTTCTTTGACGATGTAATCTTGATCATTCAGAGTTTGTAAGAAGCTTTGAACCTGCATCTATATTTATAATTACTAGTATAATAAATTAAAATTAGTTTTCATAGCCATCATAAAAGAGAAACATGTAAACTTTTTTTAAATTTCCAATGAAGAAATATTGTTTTCACAATTTCATTTATCATGTAATTGTGTTTGTAATTGAAATTGCAATTGAAATCAACATACTTTATTGTTTGCTTGTTTGTTTTGACTATTTCGCTGGTGATAGAGTTTCATTCTTTGAGCAACTGTAGTGCCTTGCCTATAAAAATATTTTCCATTTTAGTAATAACCCCAAAGGTATATAGTAACCTCGAAAAACTCGAATAATACAAATTACTTCAATAAACTTACATTTCTTACGCAGCGCAGATTCATTTGTTTCATTATTTGCACTACAATTGTTTATCGGGGACGGGATAAAATTTTTCCGATCCTGACATTTTTTATTAACTCATGATTTATTAACTTTTTCTGATAAAGCAACTAATCACGCCAATTGCAAATTGATGATTCTGCATATAAGGTGACTAATAATGTGACAAGAACTGATCTTTTGCAAGAGTCAAATGAAGTATTTGAACTTCCATATAAAGACTTCAATTTGTTTAGAAACGCACAAAAATTGTTTGAAAAACAATTTACAAATGATACTATTTAACCATGAAATGTTTTGACATAAAAATTGACCAATATGCTTCACGCTTTCGGTGACGTACGCACGTATAAAGTCACGCATACCAAAAAGCCTCGCACAAATACGACCAATCAGAATCGACCCGTATAGAAATAATACCATCAAATCGAGAGCGAATGACTTTTACTTGACCTTGACGTAACAATTTCTGTTGCATTTGTACGGATTTACACCCATGTCGCGCCTAAAGAATAAACGTAGCTCGTTACGCCCCATCACATCAACTATCTGTTAAAAAAATGTTCGATCAAAATCAGTCCAGCCGTTCCGGAGCTTAACACATACTGTATCTCTCTATTATGTTTTAGGCGCGAAATGACCAAACAGTTCCTCATCTCCCGCATCATGGAAATGCTCATGGACGAGTTTTCTGCTGCCAAAGCCGATCAAGCATCCAAAGACAAACAACCAGGATCTGATCAATCCCAAATAGGACACTTGAATTTCGATCCAGATTCACCAGCCGTCCAGGAGGCTGTCGCCTTGGCAGCGTTCAGACAACACCCTGCTTTCAATCGAGAAATGTTCTTTAGAAAAATGTTATTTGCAGTACGCAGACCACCAATGGACCCGACACAAGAAGATAAAAAAGATGATAAACCTGTAAAGGTTGAACCTCCGAAATCTGATGAGGATGACGACATTTTTGGTGGTGGCGTGGAGGTCATAACTCAGGAAACTAGTAAGAATCTGACCTAGGGTGTATACAAAAACCGACATTTCAGAAAACCGGTTTTCGAATTTAAATTTTACTAAAAAACCGGTTTTAACCGGTTTTCGAATTTTATATAGAAAATAAATTTTTGCTCGAATATTCTGTAATTTATCCGCAAATTTAGTGTAATTTAGAGCAGTATTTGACGGAATTTATTTTTTGTTTAATTTTATAGATAGTAAACAGAATTATTCTAATTTTAATTAGTTGAACTAAAAAATAATAGTTTAATTTGATTAAATCACTTTCAAAATAATTATTCGTTATTCATGCATCATTTTCACATATAAGAATGAAAATATTTTTATGATAGTGAAAGGCAAGTTTTCGAATAAATTAAAATAATACATTTTTTAAATAAAAAAAAAAATCATTAGATAAAAAATATCAGATACATGTTGATAAATACTTGTTAATATCAATTTTAGTTTTAAAAACAATTAAGCTAAACTCGGGTATTGTCTGTTCCGAGCAATTTTAATTAATTAATTTTAAACATTTTAATTGTTTTTTGTTTAATAAAATATGATTAAAAAAATTTAGAACGTCAATCAAATTGCTGCTTAGACGTGTCCTTTGTTTACTCACAAAATTTCCTGAACTAGAAAATACTTTCATACTTGCGACCAAATTATGCCTAATTGTTTTTAAAGCCTGATATAAAAATTCTAAGTTTTTTGTTCTTTAATTTATGGTTTCTAGGGTTTAAAACCCTTTTTTTAAGTTTGAGTAGAGGAAGTTACTTCTTCAAGAATAAGTCACACTGATTTAAATTAATACTTATACTGGTATAAAAATCTAAATTAATATATACAAAACCTTTTGGGAACCATTGCAGACTGATAAGATATCAAATGCTATTGAACCGATATGATTTCAAGAATCAAAACGCTTTCATCTATCTTTTATATTTGGCTATATTTGTCATTTTTCATTTATACAGTGAAAACCGACTTTTTCACTAAAAAACCGGTTTTCGAATTCCATAATTTTCGCCAAAAACCGGTTTTTGAAAACCGACAAACCCTAATCTGACCATTGTAAATGTCCACTGATTCAAGTATAATTTTTTACCATGTATAATTTTTTATCAGCACCTTCGGATAGCAACTCGTTCGTGCACATCAATATTCAAACTTTTGGAGATAATCTTCAAAGCACTCCAAAAACCGAAATAGAAGAGGCCTATGAACCAATATTTGACGAAATGCCTAGCCAAGGTGTTTTGAAGAATGCAGAAGTTGAGGTGAGCTTATTACTGCAGTAAATGGAGAGGAAAACAGGGTCTAACATCTGGATTTTTTTACTGTATTCCCATTTGCATGAAGTTTTTGGAATTAGGTTCATCTTAACCCCAAGTTCAAAAGTGAAAACAATTCCGCCATCACCCTCCGGATGGGTTGCAATCCTTTAATAAATGAGTGGACATTGAGCCGTTTTGTCGCTAGAAAACGTTTTTAATATGGAAGGATATAATTAAAAAATATTTTTTTAACACATTTATCTTGCAATAAAATCATTTTCAACCCCGTAAAAACCCTAAAACCCTTTAAACAACCTCTAAATTAAAAAAAAACTTAACTTAAAAATAAATTTCGGGATAATATAATAAAAATTACGTATAAAGTAAATAATATTTTATGTTTTCTATCTTGATTATCAAATTTTTAACCCTCTTTAGACCCTTAAAAACAACCCCTTGATAGAAAATTGTTTGAAAAAATTATTTTGAAATTGAAAGAAAATTAAGAAATTCAAAATGATATAAATGTTATATCCATAATTTGTTCAACTCTTAAAACTACCCTTGAATAAAAACAGTTAATATGACACTAGTGCCCAGTATAATTTTGTCTAAACTCGTATATTTGTTGTTGTTGTTACTGCAACTATTAATCTTTTATTTGATTATAGTAATAAAACTATAAATAAAATAAAAGTATATTAATTTATTCAGGGGCGTAGCGTGCATTGGCGGGGCCCCGTATCAAAATTTTTTTAGAGGCCTCCTCAGGTAGGGCAAAATTTTCTCACAAAAAAATTATAAACCTAAAAGAAATTTTTATTTGTCATCAATATTTATTTATCAATTTTCCAAGATTTCTACAAACAATTCAAATTCAATATACACATTTATTAAAGCATTTATAGCTTATGACGGCTGTAGTTTTTCTAAAATTTATGCTACTATGAACAATGAGGGACTGACTGACTGTTCCTGTGTCATTGAAGTATTTAACTTCCCAAAAAAAGTTTATGTTTTTATCAGAAAATACTTGGTTTTTCAATGATAGACTAAGCCGTTTTTTGAAATTCGGAGAACGGTACTAAAATTTTCGTTCTAAACTGTTCGAATATATCGACCGGACCGCATTTACGTAATTAGTTGTTGAAAAAAACGTTCGATTCTGATAAAATTTCCATGATCATAACCATCATAATTACTAAAATATTATGAGTCTGCAAAGTCATTAATTTTAAAAATTCATAAAAATTTGTATCTGAAAATGGAAATGGAATGAATCTGAATTTTTAAGTATTGGGTCGATTATTTACACATCGGAAAATACTCAATTTATTTAACACGTGAACCTTTCAGCCACAAGATACTTTACTATAAGAATGATTTATAAAATGCGATTAGTTTTCGAGTCATAACTCCTTCAATTTGTACTCCATCACAATTTGTAATATACTATTTGAAATGTTAATAAAAGGGCTACAACTTTTTTCATCATAATTTTTTTCGTAACTCTTCTCATTTTGAAATGGCGAACGGTTTTTTAAAGGGCTCAAGAGAGTCTCTGATTGTGCGGCCGCGCACTCTTTAAACAATCATAACTCTGTCAATTTTTGTGTGACAGGTAAATGATAAAACACAATAATAATCCAGAAAGATTCCTTTTATTTTTATCTATATGGTTTTATACGTATCTTTTATTATTCTTGAGATATAATGAAAATAAGTTCAATTTTAAAAAAAATTGGATTTTTTTTTTTATAAAATCGTGAGTTTTCTGAAAATAGTTTGTACTAAAGTACTGAATCTGCTAGAATTCATCAAGATGTCTATAATGAAGTAAATTCTAGTTGGAATGTGAATTACTTTAATTCTGGTGGAAATGGCGCTCATTAAACCATTTGATTTAAAAGGAAAAAAAACATTGTATGTGCTTATTTGCATGATAGCTCACGAAGCAAAATATATCAATTTTTAGTAGCCAGTAACTTGAAAAATATTAGTTTTTTTGAAGAGCTATAGAAGACATTTTTTTCTTATAATTAGCTTTTTTATCGATTTTCGACGTTATTTTGAAAAAATGTAATTACTCAATTGAGAATATAATACTATATAATTTCTAGCCACTTGTTACCAATTTTTCATCCATGTTCACTTTTAGAAAGAACAGAGTGGATATCCTGATGTGCATGATGGAGAATCTGACCTGGTTTGCATTGCTGATGACAATGACATGGATAAAGCTGAGAATTGTGCTTCTGATCAACCACAAAGTCGTGTTTTGGAGATTGTTATCACTCCTAAAAATCCCGAAGGAGACAGTAGCAGTGAGATGACTACTGAGGGAAAAAAAGAGGTAAAAGAAGTAATCATCATTGAGGCCCATCTCTAATTATTCATCAATCAATTAGCAAGTGTTCGTCAATTTTTGATTAAAATTTATTTCTCCCTTAGGAAATCACACCAAGCACTCCAGAGCCATCTTCACCTTTAACTGAACAATCCACATCCGATGCAACAATCTTCACTACATCCCAAAACCAGATCATAACCGATGAAGCCACCGAAAATGAAATGTCTGATCAACAATTTTTCCAACAAGATAATCAAGAAACCATGCCTCAATTTGTCCTAGTTGCCAACGTTCAAGAAGCTGATGACCCTAATGTTGCAAAAATAAGGCAAACTTTGGAAAATTTGATGAAGTCTGCGGATGATGGTAAAGCTGAAGTGGAAGTTAATAAGAATGTAAACGCAGATGTTTTAAAGAAAGCACCTGGAAAAGATGATGTGGAACTTGCTAAAGATGTTAATCTAGATTTGGTGAAGGATGGTAAAAGGGCACCTGGTAAAGTTGAATCAGAAGTTGCAAAAGATGTAAACTCTGATGTGGTAAAGACTAGCAAGAAGGCATCTGCTAAAGCTGAATTGAATGTCACAAATGCAGATGTGGTCAAGACCAGCAAGAAGGCAAAAGCAGTTCCAGAGGACGAAGACTTTGCAGAAGTAAGTGCAAACTATTCTAAAGTCTATTTTTCTATTTCTTGAATTTTTTTTTGATACATTAGGATACAGATTTATAGTGAGTGGTAGCTAGGAAATGCAATACCGATATACCGGTATACCAAATTACCCCGGTAATTACCTAAATAAAAAAATAATTATTAAAATACCGGTATTTTTGGTATTTTTACATGAACGCTATTTGAAACATAATACATTAAAGTTTAAATTTATCGGAACAAATTTATCTATAAATTCCATAATCGCATATAAACAGCTATATCTTCAAGTTATTCTATAGGTAAGATAAACAAATGTCAAATATTATCTCTACAGAATTTTTATACTAAGGACTTCATATCGTGTTTCAATAAATTGAATTGGACTGATAGATAATGTTTGTTTCATCTTATGTAAAAATGTCACAGTTTTTTAAGTGATATTTGCGCCAAAATATTTTATCATACAGATTACCCCTGCGTGATTTTTATTTTTTTCTAACTTTATACATAATAATTATGATAATTACTAAATATTTTTGCTCCTTATTACAATTATGAAATATGATTTTTCGAAAACGTTTTGAAGTTTGAAAATACTACAGAAGCATCACATTGTTTTAAACAACTATACTCAACAATTATAGTAACTTATTATTTATAAATATCGACAAAGTATCCGATCTTAAATTAGTGTAAAAAAAATTTTTTTTTAAATATTGGAGATTGTGCTAATTTTACACGTCGGATACAGACAATACAGTTTATTATAATAATGTAACATGATCTTTTTTGAGTTTTTGGTCTTTCTTACTCATACGTTTGTTTTTGGTGAAAAGTACTCAATATACTCGATAGTGATAATGAATTATTTAAATTGCATATACTTTTGTTAAGTTATTATTTAGAAGAATAAACTTATTGTTTTATTTTATTGTTTTTATTGTTTAGTTGAATATAGTTGTAGTTGTATATACATTTTTTCATGTTTGTACTAGTAACTTTCAATTTTGTTTAGGTTTGTTTAAGATAATAAAAATACCAGTAATTTACCGGTATTCCGGTTTTAAAATGAAAAATTACCGAAATACCGAAAAATTATTCATTCTTATCGACTGGAAAACCAACTTATTGGCCTACGGACAGAAACAAACACCCAGACCTTCTAGATTTTTATATTATAAATGGCATTTCTGACTTATACACAAACATAGAAGATAATTCAGATTTTTAAGTCGGGTTAGAAAAGTCCATACTGCGTTTTAAAGTATAAATATGCTCTGCTATCATAGTTTTAAATTGCTTCGGATTTTTTGAATTATTATTTTTATGTTGTTGTAAACGTTTCATTAAGTTCTGGCTTGTTTCTCCTATGTAAATTAAATTACAATCTAGACAATTTATTTGATAAACGAGATTTCTAAGTCGTTCGATATTAAAAGGGGTTTTTGTTTTGGTAAAAATATTACTAGTCGTTGTACTAAAATTGTTTACAAGTCGGGGTCCAGATTTATAAAAAAGGTTTTTCCAAGAAACATACAATTCTTTAATGTATGGTATTGCGTGGTCAGTTAGATTTATTATAGTACCTATTTTTATTTTGAGTGGATAATAAGAAAAATAATTAAGATAACGTCCAGAGTTAGTTGTTTTTTGGTACCAATTTGTTAATAGTTTGTTATAAGTTTTATGTCTAAGAAATCCGAAGCAATTTAAAACTATGATAGCAGAGCATATTTATACTTTATGATAAATATGATTATAGCGGAAACATATGGATTTAAAATAATTTTTTAAAGAAATTTATGTTTTTTATTGATGTTATGCCCGATTATTAGACTTTGTTGATATATATATATATATATATATATATATATATCTAAATTTTCTTCTGTTTTTTAGCAACTGAAGCTACAATCTCGACCAAAACGTCATTTCCCGACACTCAGCCAACAACCACCAGATTTTGAAGAACCCAGTTTCCTTCTACAAAGGGATAGTGATGAAGATGAAACACATGCACCAAATGACGATGAAGTTTTGTTCCTTTTCCAGACTTCTGCACCACCAGATGCACCTCCAGAGAATCATTTTGGAAGTGGATTTTTGAGTTTTCTAAACAGGCAAGTGAAATAAAATTGTGGTATATATATTTTGGTGTAAAATTGTAACTTTTGTTGTGTATTTGCAGCAGGCCACGTTTTGAGGATATTTTCCCTTTTAATCATTTTCCTTGGGCCACTCGATCTAGAGACAATGTTTACGATGGTATGTTTGCTACTACACCAGATTCCAATTTGGGTAAGTTGTAATATTGATATGAACTAGCTGTAAGTGGAATTCTGTCTTAAGGCAATTAAGGCATCGTGCCTTAAGGCAAATTGCTGGAACTTCCCGTACCAAAAATTATTATTTTTTTAAAAACGATTAACATTTTTCAAAGAAAATTACTTCGAAAAAATTAAATTTTTGAGAAACTATAAATTTGACAAAAAAATTACTTTTTTTGAAAACAAATTTTTCTTTGAAAAGAGAAATGTTTTCTTTATTTTGACATTTTTTGGAAATTCTGAACTGTTTTTCAAAGCAATCGTACTGCTTTATCTGCATAGAGATGAAATGTCAAAGCGCGCAAGTGCCGCGCCGCCGTCTAACGGATAAGCATTGGTACGGAACCCATAGAAATATAAAACAGTTTATACTTATTGTTAAAATCTCTATAAAATATCTGATAATTTGATGTGCATATGTCTAATGATCATTTTTGACCACCAAATGGCATTTTTTTTACTTTTATCATTAGATCTCCGAAACCGCTAGACCTGCCTTCATGAAAATTTGATCAATTCTTCATCTTGTCAATGCAAGTAAAATGTTTTTTGAATTATTCAAATCGGACGCTCCGTTCTCTCAAAAACTGAGTTACCGTTTTCGTCACTTTTTGCCCCGTTGCTTCGGAACGGCTAGACCTGCCTCCGCCAAAAACTTATCAGCACGTCTCCTTATCAATGCGAATCGAATGTTTTTTGAATTATTCAAATCGGTTGATCCGTGTTCCCGAAATCGTCGACGAAAATTTGTATCTGCACATACATACACACACGTACATACATACATGCACACACACACACACACACGCACACACGCACACACACACATACATCCATTTTTTCTAAGGTATGCCAAAATGTTCAGAAACCTTTGAAACGTAAAGATATATAAAAATTTTGATTTTCGATTTTTTTGCGATTACTATAACTTGCCCTATGGGAGGTTAATAAAATCTCATATAATTTTGACCTAAAAATGGAATTTTTGAATTTAATAAACTATTTATATCTTAAATTTAAAGCTATCAAAAATTTATATAATATGTTAACTTCGTCATAACAGCTAAAGTAAATGGGTTTTGAGATAAGGCCCGAAGAGAGAAGGATGAAGTATGTTTGTTCGAACAAGTTTCCATCATTGCTTGGAGTCAGTGTCTTACGTTAAAACAGTCTTTTTAACCGAAAAAATTACAAAAAACCTCTTATCATTGTATGACATTGCAAATATTTGAGGCGTAGTTTGGCATTGAAAACAAATCAAAATTGTCATCTGCCAAACTTTTGAATTCACTTATAGCCGAAGACAATATTAAAATATAATATATTTATGATTGTGTATAATAAAAATGTAATAATTACTCATGTACTTTCTGAAGGGCAAGTTGTATTTTTGCTAGAAAATCCGATTTGCTAATTTTGTGTTTTCCAGCGTTGTCATGGTAACGCTATATTATGCTTGTTGGTGAAACGGTAAAAATGTCTTTTTATTAACTTCCCGTAGGGCAGTTATAGTAATGGGCCAAAGATCTTAAATGAAATTTTTCGCATTTTTCGACGTTTTGAAGGTTTCTGAACATTTTGGCATACCTCAGAAACTATGTGGATGTGTGTGTGTATGTGTGTGTGTGTGTTTTGTATTTCCGCATGTTTTCGGGCGCACGGATCAACCGATTTGAATGCTTTAAAAACATTCGATCCCTATTGATAGGGAGATGTGCTGATTAGTTTATGGCAAAGGCAGGTCCAGCCGTTACGGAGATACGGAGCAAAGAGTGCAGAAAATACAAATCGAGTTTTTGAGAGAACGGAGTATCGGATTTGAATGATCTAAAAAACATTCAATTTGTAATGATTGGGAGAAGATGTGATTAGTTTTTGGAAAAGACAGGTCCCGCCATTTCGAAGATACAGAAATAAATGTGCAAAAACTGGCAGTTTTTGAGTGAACTAAGCGTCCGATTTGAAGGATCTAAAAAACTTTCTACTTGTACTGACAAAACAATTGCTTTTGAGGATAAAACATCTTTTTTTACATCTTTTTTTATTTTCCATAAAATATTTGTAATTTTGGATTAAAAATTCAAAAAATTACCCAGGCTAAGCACAGTCTAAGCGCCACTCTGGTACAAATGTTTACTCAAGTGCGTTTAGACTGTTTATGAACAATTGTGTTTTAATTTTGTGAAAACTATTGAAAAATGTGAAAATGCCGCCAAGCTAAGTACAGTATAAGTGAAAATGTCGCACAGAAATATTTGCAAATGCGTTTAGACTGTGACTATGCGGGAGCACTTTTTCAATTTTGTGTAAATTAGGCAACTATTTTTTTTGAAATTGAATTCGGAATGAAATGACGATTGTTAATGTTCTGGAGATAAAATGATTTATTTATGATTAAAATTTCTCGAATCTTTCATTACGGTACGGGAAGTTTCAGCAATTTGCCTTAAGGCACGATGCCATACACCATTAGTTTACTCATTTTTTTTACAATTTCAGATAAGAAACAGGAAACTGTCCTCTTCTATCGCCAGGATCAGAGAACGAAGAAGATTCTGACTTCCCCGAACAAAATCGTGGCAGTCGTCTTTTGATATTATCAATCGCCTCAGAAAACCCTGGTTCAGCTCCAATTCTGATATTT